AATCAGTATATTGACATTAAGAGGGACATTAAAAAGGGGATAAGAAAAGCTAAAAGGGACTATGAAATTAAAGTTGCTAGGGATTCTAAAACTAACCCAAAAAGTTTTTTCCAGGTCTATAGAACAAAAGTTAGAGATAAGATAGGTCCCCTTAAAAATAACTATGGGCACCTTACTGACAAAGAGAATGAAATGTGCTTGATTTTAAATAATTATTTTCTCTCAGTTTTTACACAGGAAGACACTAACAATATTCCAGTAATTAATTTTTACAGTGGGCTAGAAGATAAATTATGTAACATCACAGTCACTAGTGAGATGGTTGTGAAGCAGATAGACAGACTGAAGCAAAATAAGTCGCCGGGTCCTGATGAGGTTTTTTCAAGGGTTCTTAAGGAATGCAAAATGGAACTCTGTGAACCATTAACTAATATTTTTAATTTATCTCTTCAAACAGGTGTAGTGTCTGATATGTGGAAGATGGCTAATGTAATTCCTATTTTTAAAACAGGGGACAAGTCGTTACCGTCAAATTACCGCCCAATAAGCCTGACCTCAACTGTAGGCAAATTACTAGAGTCAATTATAGCTGAGATTATAAGAAGCCATCTCGATAAGCATAGCTTGATTAATGATACTCAGCATGGATTCACAAGAGGCCGGTCTTGTCTAACTAATTTATTAACTTTCTTCAGTAAAGCTTTTGAGGCTGTTGACCACAATAAAGAATTTGATATTATTTACTTAGATTATAGTAAGGCTTTTGATAGAGTTCCGCACCATAGACTGTTAAAGAAAGTGGCAGCTCATGGCATTGGGGGAAAAGTGCTCTCGTGGATCGAGTCATGGCTCACTGACAGGAAGCAGAGAGTGTCCATAAATGGGGTTAAGTCCGAGTGGGGATCTGTAACAAGTGGCGTTCCACAGGGATCAGTCTTGGGCCCGTTGTTGTTTATAATATATATCAATGATCTTGATGAGGGAATTACTAGTGATATGAGCAAATTCGCCGATGACACAAAGATAGGTAGGATAATTGATTCAAACGTAGATGTTATGGAACTTCAGGAGGATTTAAACAAACTCTGTTCTTGGTCAGAAAAGTGGCAGATGCAGTTCAATGTAGATAAATGCAAGGTTTCTGAAGCTTGGGAGTGCCCATAACCCTAGTACTTATAAGTTAAATGATGTAGAACTTAGCCATACAGATTGCGAAAAGGACTTGGGGGTTATGGTGAGCAGCAACCTTAAACCAAGACAGCAATGCCTAAGCGTACGTAATAAGGCAAATAGATTACTGGGATTTATATCAAGAAGTGTAAGCAACAGAAGTCCAGAGGTCATACTGCAGCTTTATACATCATTAGTAAGGCCTCACCTAGATTATGCAGCTCAGTTCTGGTCTCCGTATTACAAAATGGACATAAATTCGTTAGAAAACATTCAGCGTAGGATGACTAAATTAATACATAGCATTAGAAATTTTCCTTATGAAGAAAGATTGAAGACTCTTAAGTTACATTCACTTGTTAGACGAAGAATGAGGGGAGACCTGATCGAAGTGTATAAGTGGAAGATAGGTATTAATAAAGGGGATATTAATAAGGTCTTGAGGATGTCTCTCCAAGAGAGAACCCGCAGTAATGGATTTAAATTAGATAAGTTTAGATTTAGAAAGGACATAGGAAAGTATTGGTTTGGAAATAGGGTAGTTGATGAGTGGAACAGTCTACCTAGTTGGGTTATTGAGGCTGGGACTTTGGGTAGTTTCAAATTTAGGTTGAATAAGTACATGAGTGGGAGGGGTTGGATTTGAGTGGGACTTGCACATCGGAGCTTGTTTCTTGGGTGGCATTGAAAATTGGGTTGGGCAAATGTTTTGTTAGTGGGATGAATTGTAAAGGACCTGCCTAGTATGGGCCAGCAGGCCTCCTGCAGCGTTCCTCCTTTCTTATGTTCTTATGTGTGTGTGTGTGTGTGTGTGTGTGTGTGTGTGTGTGTGTGCGTGCGCACATCTTTGTGTTAGTTATGAGTTCTACATAAGAACAAACATTCCGATAAAACGACACAGTTCCATTGGCTTTCTTTGTACAACGTTTCACCAAACACTGGGCTTTATCGAGTACTTGTCGGGCGAAACGTTACCCCATGATATTTACACAATGTTAAATAGAAACTTCGCAACAGACTCCACCAGTGTTGTTAGGTCACCGCAGAATTACAGACTTTTAAATAGCAAAATATTTAATTATGTTCCCGCGAGATGTGGTTACCTATTTCGGCCAGAGGATCAGATTTTTTATTTTTTTTTTTTTTGAGTGAAGCAAATCCATTTCTCGAATCCAATTGCTTTTTACAAACATCTCTGTCAAGTTGTTAAATTAGACACATGTGCAACTCTTGGGTATCTTTAGTGAGGAAACGTTTCGCCACACAGTGGCTTCATCAGTCCATACGAAGGATAAACTGGAAGAACAGGAGGAGAATGAGGTAATCAGTCCCTCAACCTCGAGTCGATGTGGTCAGTCCATCAATCTTGAATAGATACCCAAGAGTTGCACATGTGTCTAATTTAACAACGTGTCGGTTCTTTGAACCATTCATCTACAATCTCTGCCAAGCGTGACACGGATGATGAATTTTGGGAATGAAGTTCTGCTTGCATTTCATTCCAGTAATTGTTGATGGTATTTAGGTCATGGCTGTTCTCTGGTCAGTGGATAATGTTGACATTGTTCTCTTGCAGATATTTCTTGACCTGTTTTGTCACGTGGCTCGAGACATTGTCTTGTATCTATTGTGAGTGTCGGGGACCCAAGGTTGCTCAACTGCCTCTCAGCATATGTAAGGGGGATTATCAATAGACCCCTAGCTGTCTTCAAGAGGCAGCCGGACAGGCACCTAGAGTCAGTACCTGACCAGCTAGGCAGTGGTTCGTTCGTCGGTTTGCTTGGGGCCAGCACTAACATTTTGTTGATCAGGCCCTGATCCACCGCGAGGCCTTGGCATGGACCGGGCAGCGGGGGCGTTGACCCCGGGAACACTCTTCAGGTATACTACAAGTACCAATTCCACAAATGATGTTGGGTTCAGCTCTTTCCTCCCTCTCACTTCTCTTTTCCTTATTCTCTTCTCTTCCTGGCAACCATGCACTTTAATGTCCTCCCTAAAGTTTGTTGCTTCCAGTCGTTTATTACAGCTAGTTTCTCGTGGAAAGGGGAAAGAGGGACATTGGGGGAGGGAAAGAGGGCGAAGAGGAAGGAGGTAGAGTAAGAGTAAGAAGAAAGAAGGAGGGAGAGAAGGAAGAGGAGCGTGGGAGGGTTGGAGGGAGGGAGAACTAAAACAATAAATCGTATTTTAGCACCACAACAACACTTTACCTTCCCTTACTCCCCCACCATTCCCTCCCACAGACACACACACACACAAAGACAAAAACAATTCACCCATACCCACTCACAGACACTCACAGCCACTCACAGACACCCACAGCCACTCAAAGACAATCACAGACACCCACAGCCACTCACACATCCACATCCACTCACAGACACCCACAGCCACTCACAGACTCCCACTCTCACAGCCACCACACAGTTCTTTTCTCACCATCCTTCCACACCATGCTCACCCCCACCATTATCACTCCAAGTCACCATGACAACAGAACAGCACGACACACTAAGACCCGAACCTTGTCCGGCAGGGTTTTACAAGAGTATTAAACAAAGACCTCAGTCAGGAACACAGTAAAAGGATTACCGTCTTTCGTGTCTACCTATGTACCGTCTTTGTTGTATTGTACGGCACCTGGCCCTCAGGGCCACACTGGATACCCCCTGAGATGTAGAACCTGGTCGTTAAGACCGTACTGGCCCCCCTCTCCCTAACACTTGGTCGTCAGGACCTCGCTGGCATACCAGAATTGAAGACCTGGTCATCAGGACCTCGCTGGCATACCAACATTGGAGACCTTATCGTCAAAACAACAATGATCTTCCAAGACACGAGACCTGGTCTCCAATACCACGATACTCTGTACACGACACTAACTCTACAGGCTGGTTTAGAAGTCATTTCTCGCCTCTATTGTGAACCCTTGTAACACTTCTTAATGATCCTCATCCACCACAGGATGTCAGGGTCATGTTTGCTAAACTAAATGATTTGATAGTGATAATTACATAAGATCGCTGGTATCGCTTCCCTGAACACCAAAACTGTTGGATTAAACCCTTGCAAAATTTGAGAACTATTTTTGGTTTATTATATATATATATATATATATATATATATATTATATATATATATATATATATATATATATATTTTATATATATATATATATATATATATATATATATATATACATGATATTAATATATATATATATATTATTAACAATATAAATTATATAATATGTTATATATATTTTAATATATATATATATCATAAGAACATATTATATATATATGTTAAAATATATAATATATAATATTTGTATAATAAATATTATATACATTGATATGAATATATATATAGATATATATATAATATATATATATATATATATATATATATATATATTATATATATATAATATATATACATTATATATATATATATATTAAATATATATATATATATACATATATATATATATATATATATATATATTATATATATATATATATATATATATATATATATATATAATATACGATGGTTTCCTTCTGATCTACCCAGATTTTGAACAAGGTTAAATTTTAAATGTTGTTTTATTTGGGGAATCTATTTTTGTCCACTAAGGGAAGCCCACATGCCTTCGAAATATCTTGTTAAAATTCAAATCAGGTCGACGATTCTTGGCACAACTGAAAGGTTAGTTTATGCGTGGGACGAATTGACCATGAAGACTCCGGAGAGCGCATGCGCATGTATTCGTGTGTCTTCATGTGTGTGTGTGTGCGTGTTTGTGTGTAGACGAGACTTCCAGCAGGTTGCCTACTCAGTGTCCTCTGGAACTCGTGTGAGGTTGGGTGTGTCAAGTCGCTCTGGTGTGCCTTCACTCCGCGTGTGTGTGTGTGCGTGTCGGGGACCTGTGAGAGCCCTGTGTGCGTGTTTGGTGTGTCGTGAGGGGCCGTGTGGGTACACCAAGACACAGGATGGGGCTACAGGAACAAGGAACGATACTGCTGCTTGTGATAGCGGCTGCAGTGGTAGGAGCCACTAAAGGTAAGACCCCCAGTCAACCCTTTTGTTGAGCAGGTGGCAGAACCCGCCCACACACCAGACCTTATGTCACACCAACAACCATCAACACGAGGGAATATGATCACAATATGTAAAATACTCCGGGACATAGAGAAGGTAGACAAGGGCCCTAATGGAAATAAATTACTTTGACTCTTTTGGGGGGTTATCCTAGGTGACTTACACATGTCACTATGTATGATAATTTGTTTAACTGTATTTACGCGTACCTGTACCTTAATAATCTTACTTATTAGGGATAAGCCCTTTCCCCAAAATGCAACAAGGGGTAAGATTAAAAATTGCATACCCAAATGAACACAGGGATGTCGATAAGCATTTTCTCAACTTTGAAATGATTAAGAAGTGCCAGGAAGAAAGAGGAGGTAGATGGGTGATTCTGAGAACAGGAGAACCTCACTCTCCATAACAAGGATACCAGACACAATCTCAAACAAATAAATATTCTGTATAGGAAATGACTGTCTTGCGTTAGCTGGTCAAGAGTTAAGAGACGAGACCCAGTGATCATCTCTGCAAATATAGATAGCTAATTACATCAGAGTACATACTGATAATGTTTCCGTACGAAAAGATAACAGGCTAGAAAGATAACACACTTAAAAAACGATCACACATACACACACTCAGATAGTCACAGGAATGTTAGGAAGTATATTTTCAGTCATAGAGTTGTCAGGAAGTGGAATAGTCTGGAGGGTGAGGTAGTGGAGGCAGGATCCATACACAGCTCTAAGAAAACGTATGATAAAGCTCATGGAACAGAGTGGATCTAGTAGTGACCAGTGAATCGGCCCCTGCAATCACAATTAGGTAAGTGCAATTGAGTACACACACACACACACACACACACACACACACACACACACACACACACACACACACACACACACACACACACACACACACACACACACACACACACACACACACACAAGACTAAATCTGTTATCACGCCCTTTTACTTTTCCTTCATAACACATGATCTCAAACACAAGTAAAACAGTTTCTTCTGTTCTAGTCAGTGAGCCAGAAATGTTCAGCGTTCACGACTGTGTTTAAAGTAACGATACAAACTAGCTCACTAACCTAACATTATAAGTAATACCTGTGTAATCAGAGCGTCAGGCTTTGATATTGTAACGACGGGTCTGACACAAAAACCTGCAGAGGGTACTGTGACCTGTAATACTCTCTTGTACCCCTGCTAGGAAGTGTGGATAGTGCCAAGGTGGAAGGGGCGCTACGTGGCCCCAGTACCACTGCCAGGCGACCTGGTATCTATATAGTACACTTGACAGGAAGTTAGGGAGTACCAAACCTCAGTTCAGTACCCTTGCCAGAAGGGGTAATATCTGCATAGTATCCTTGGTAGGAAGTTAGAGGGGGTTCCAAACTTCAGTATCCTTGCCAGAAGGGGTAATATATATCTCCATAGTACCCCTGGCAGGTAGTTTAAAAGAGATAGTACCTGGCTAGTACCCCTGGCAGGAAGTGTGGGTACTGTCAGGAAGTACGTTACTCAGAGATGCCTGGTAAAGTTCGTTATTTCATCGGGTTTTCGTAATGGAGACAGATTTCTTAACACTGTAGAGTGGGCAGGCGAGTCTCCTGTCCCCACTACCAGCTGACGTCACTCAAGTCAAGGTCCCATACTCCCACACTCAGACGTAGTGTGGGCCTGCACCACCCTGTACCATCCTGTACCCTACACCTGCACCACCCTGTACCCTACACTGCACCACCCTGTGCCCTACACCTGCACCACCCTGTACCCTACACTACACCACCCTGTACCCTACACCTGCACCACCTCGTACCCTACGCCTGCACCACCCTGCACCCTACAACTGCCTCACCCTATACCCTACACCACCCAGTCTGGAAGTGTCAAACTAAACTTATGTTAAATAATTCGTCATTTTACACAACAAATGACTGTAACAGATCGTTGGAAGTTACGCAAATCTATGTTATAACACGACTGTGTTACACATCACTACGCTGACGTTCCAACTGTTACCCTCTCGTTACTTTCAGCTTCACTCACTGCTACATCAAGGCATGAAAACCTTCCAGTTTCCAGTGACATCAACAATGACATCAGCAATGACATCAACAATGACATCAACAATGACAACATAAGAACATAAGAAAGAAGGAGCACTGCAGCAGGCCTACTGGCCAATGCTAAGCAAGTCCAAGTCACCTATGGCCCAAGTCAGTCAGGGCTAAGTCACATCCACAGTAAGGACATCAATAAGGACATCAGTACCGACAAATCAAAATAAAAATTTTCCAGTGAACCTCAAAACTGACCAATAAACCTTCAAAACAGACCAATAAACCTAAAAAAATCAATAAACCCTCAAAACATACCAATAACCCTCAAAACTGATCAATAACCCCTCAAAACAGACCAATAAATCTCAAAACTGATCAATAAACCCTCAAAACAGACCAATAAACCTCAAAACTGATCAATAAACCCTCAAAACAGACCAACAAACCTCAAAACTGGTCAATAAACTCTCAAAACAGGCCAATAAACCTCAAAACTGATCAATAAACCCTGAAAACAGACCAATAAACCTCAAAACTGATCAATAAACCCTCAAAACAGACTAATAAACCTCAAAACTGATCAATAAACCCTCAAAACAGATCAATAAACCTCAAAACTGATCAATAAACCCTCAAAAGAGGCCAATAAATCTCAAAACTGGTCAATAAACCCTCAAAACAGAACAATAAACCTCAAAACTGATCAATAAACCCTCAAAACAGACCAATAAACCTCAAAACTGATCAATAAACCCTCAAAACAGACCAATAAACCTCAAAACTGATCAATAAACCCTCAAAAGAGGACCAATAAACCTCAAAACTGGTCAATAAACCCTCAAAACAGAACAATAAACCTCAAAACTGATCAATAAACCCTCAAAAGAGACCAATAAACCTCAAAACTGATCAATAAACCCTCAAAAGAGACCAAAAACCTCAAAACTGATCAATAAACCCTCAAAAGAGACCAATAAACCTCAAAACTGGTCAATAAACCCTCAAAACAGAACAATAAACCTCAAAACTGATCAATAAACCCTCAAAAGAGACCAATAAACCTCAAAACTGGTCAACAAACCCTCAAAACAGAACAATAAACCTCAAAACTGATCAATAAACCCTCAAAAGAGACCAATAAACCTCAAAACTGATCAATAAACCCTCAAAAGAGACCAATAAACCTCAAAACTGATCAATAAACCCTCAAAAGAGGCCAATAAACCTCAAAACTGGTCAACAAACCCTCAAAACAGAACAATAAAAACTCAAAATCTGATCAATTAAACCCACCTCAAAAGATATAAACCCTCAAAAGAGACCAATAAACCTCAAAACTGACAGTTTTTCTTATTGGAAAGTTTAAACCGTTCAATAAAGTTGGTATTATTTTGTTTAAGGAAATCAAAAACCAGACATCATTATAGCAATGAAAATTATGGCTATAACAATCATTAGTCTCATTATCATCATTATCATCATCGTATTCATTATTATCGTCACATCTGACATGTCTATAGGGGGAGTGTGGTCGTTAAGTGATGATGATAATTTATAGGCTATGGATGATGATGATGGTGATGATAATGATGACGATGATGATGATGATACTAGCATGGAAATCTCTATTGAAGAAAACGTTAATAATGAGGAGAGTTGATAAAAATAATGTTGATGATGACATAATAATAATAATAATAATAATAATAATAATAATAATAATAATAATAATAATGGTACTTGACAGTGATGATGGATGGTGATGAAAGTGATGAACACTGCTGACAGTGATGGAAAGTGACGTCCTCGAGTGAAGGTGATCTTTGTGACGGGTTTGTCTCTCAGTTCTGAAGTTATTTCCTCCTGCCTCACCTTCACTGGGATTTTTACTCTTTCACAATGAATTTTCTCCTCTTTCTTCTCCTCCTTCTCCTCTTCCCTCATCCAGCTACTCATCCTCCTTCTCTTCTTCTTCCTCCTCCTCCTCCTCCTCTTCCTTATCTCACAATATTACACACGCCTCTGCTTCCTCCTTCCTTATACTCCTGCTCCTTAATCCACCAGAACTGCTTGCTTCCTTCTTTGTCTCCTGCATTCCTTCCTTCCCTTCCTTTCCTCTACCATCCCTTCCTTCCCTTTCTATCCTGCAATACTCCCTCCCTTTGCCCCCCCTTGTCTCCAACACGTCCCTTCCTCTCTCTTCTCTCTCTCTCTCTCTCTCTCTCTCTCTCTCTCTCTCTCTCTCTCTCTCTCTCTCTCTCTCTCTCTCTCTCTCTCTCTCTCTCTCTCTCTCTCTCTTTCTGTCTTTCTCTCTCATTCTCTTATACACCCTTCCATTCATTTCATGTCCCCTACACACACCCCTTTACTCCCTGTCCCCTACACACCCTCTTTCTTTCCCACTCTGTCCCCTACAAACCCTTCCATTACCACCCTGTCCCCTACACACCCCCTTTCCACCCTGTCTCGGTCTCTTCCTGTACAGAGTAGAAGGGCTTCAGGGGCCCCCAGTATTTCTCAGGCTTAACCTGCCGCCTTTGTTATGGAGTTGGGATGCCTGCATGTTTTTTCCACGTCTCTTTATGACGTCTGTCTATACCTTTTAGGTGCGTCTGTCCGTTTAAGACGCATGTCTTCTTGTTTCTCGGTGTCTGTCTCGTTTTCTGTCTTTTTTTATCTTATTTTTAATATTTGTTGGGTTCTGACGTACGTAGAGCAGTTTTCAAAGAGTATTTGTCCGTTACAAACGTGTGTCTGTCCGTTTTCGACGCATGTCTGTCATTTTTTTTTTTTACGGTTGTTTGCTTGTTTTTGATGCGTGATATTGTTATTGACGCAAGTCTGTTCGTTTCTGACGCATGTTTACTTTTTGAAGCGTGTCTGGCGTGGAATTATTT